GGATCTGATCGAAAGCCCATTGAAGTAAATGGGAATCTTTCCATAGACTCTAGTGAGCTTTGCATCAGCCCGCAGTGGTGACCTTATTGTTATAACAAATCAGAATGTTTATATACAAAGTATAGACAGCTTGGTTTTCATTGGATGATTTGATGGGACAAGGGTGGGGCTACCACTATGGCCAAAAGGACTAATGAGATCCTTGGATGCACAAACAAGAAGACTCTCAAATAGGAGCAGAGAGGTTGTTTAATCTCTGTATTTGGAACTGGTGAGACTGCTGCTGGAATACTGTGTCCACAATTCAAGAAGGATGTTGATAACTTGGAAAGGGTTCAGAGACAAGCCACAAGAGTAACTGAAGGATTAGAAAACATGCCTCATAGTGCCAGACTCAAGGAGCTCCATCTATTTAGTTTAACAAAGAGAAGGTTAAGGGGTGAGTCAATGACAGTCTATTAGTTCCTATCAGGGAACATATATTTGATAATGGGCTCTTCCAACAAAGGTATAACATGATCCAGTGGCTGGAAATTGAACCCAGACAAATTCAGACTGGAGATAAGGGGTACATTTTTAACAGTGAGGGTTATTAACCATTGGAACAATTTACCAAAGGGTCATGGTGGATTCTCCACAACTAGCAATTTTTAAATCAAGTTAAGATCTCTAGGAATTTTTCTTGGGGAAGTCTCTGTCCTGTGTTATACAGGAGGGCAGACTAGATGATCACAGTCGTCCCTTCTGGCCTGGGAATCTATCCATCTATCCCTTTGGACTTAGGTTTTTTTAAAAGAGCTCTGGGCAACTTTAAACAGCTCAGCATGGCAGGGATACTGAATCATTAGTATCAGATTAGTGAGCATTGACACTGCTGTCACTGCTACCAGCATCAGAGTCACCTGCTAGCACCCCAGAATTTACCATCTCCCCATTAAACCTTTTTCCTGATTCTAAAAAGATGTTTTGACCTACACAAGGGTGGGATTTGTGTACAGGGTTGGGAGGCTGGCATGAGATCCAAAATGGGGAAATAGAGAGTTGAGGGTGGTGGTGGTGGAAACTAGTAGCTAAGTCCTCTCCACCCCTTTGCTATCAAGTCAGGCCATCCCTGATGACTTAGCAGCTATTATATAGATCAGGAATGGACCATAGCTCCTGCATTAATTCATCTTGCTGTACTTGGCAGTTGTTGGAACAAATCTTGAAGCCTTTATTTCTTGTTTCTACCCAATCTGTTGCTGTGTCTGCAGTACGTTGAATAATAACACTTGAAAAAAGGTCTCCCCTAAAGACTTTTTGTTTGTAAAGGGACAAGTGGTTCCCCCGCCCTTTTGTCCTGACATTTCATTCCACAAGTGTATTTCTGAAGATCTGTTCTGCAGTCTGAACTTTACTGATTAATATAAAATCAGTTTGCTTCCAAATCAACGTTTTCTTTACTCAACAGTTTACTCTGGAGAGCTGAAAATTATGAGGGAAAGATAAAAGCCCACAAAGGACCCCAGGGTGTATAGCACTTGGATTCTTTGAAACGTCACAAAACTCATAAGTTCATAAACCCTGATTCCTTAAGGGCGGGATGCCTGTGTTGAATTAACATCCACATAGGTATTATTGTTGTGTTATACACAATAATAGCTCTGTGACAGCATCCATTTGTTTAGACTTTCTCTGACAGAAATCTATCTATCTTGTGTTAAGGCCTTAGTGCCCTAAACATGTGTAATGCTGACAGACCCCAATTGTCAGCAAGCAGGATTGAACCTGGGGCCTCTGGAACTAAGTGCATGAGCCTCTACTATGTGAACTAAAAGCCACCTGGCTTTTAGCCAAGGCTTTAGCAGACTTATCAATCTCTAGATAGTCTAGGTGCCACTAAAGGGGGACAGAGCACTACAGTAAGCAGGCATGGGTTACATATTTCCCCTACCTTAAGGAAGCATATCCCAAGCTTCAGAGACTTTCTGGTCCATATCCCGGATGAATCCCGATTTGTAGCACTGATAGACCCATGTTGTCGGCAGGCAGGATCCAGCCTGGGACCTCTGAGGCTATGTGCATCAGCCTTTACTGCATGAGCTGCCATGATTGTATCAGACTCGTCAAACTCTAGATGGTCTAGGTGCCACTAGAGGGGGACAGAGCACCATACCAAGCAGGCATGGGTTACACATGGTTGTAGCAACAATCTCCTGTAAGTTGTGGAACAAAAAGCTCTTTACATTAACTAAAGTAAATAAAATGTCAAATGTTATGTGGACTATAGCACTGGGGACATGCTACAGCCAGGCTTATTTTTTGAAAGTGATAATTCTCAGGAGGGATGGTGCTTCTATATAAAGATAAAAATCTACCAGTCACAGTAAATAGCATGACTCTGCCAGACTGTTGGTTCTTGGTCAAAGAACAAGGTGGTGAAGAGGAGTGGAAAAGCCCAACTTTAAAATGTTGGGTATGTGGATTATATCCAATTAAAATGAATTTTGAATGGCCAAACAGTTGTATTTTGTGGTTCTGGTGATTAAGTAGGACCTCACTAGTGTCGCTCAGTGGAATGAATTCCCAAGTGCCTGCTCTTTGTTTTTTATGGATTTACTTGGACTGCAGAAGACTTGGCTCAGCTTCTGGGGTAACTCTCAATATATACTGTAGGGAGAGATCATGAACGTTTTTGCTGAGCCTTTTAGGTGTGCATGTGTGTGTTTGGGGAGAGGTGGTGGCTTAGGAAATGGAGCGTTGCTGCTGTGCACTAAATACACCTTGAGGCTATAGGACAGGACCTGGGAGAGGAGGGAAAAAGGTGTGGTGGTGGGTGTACTGGGTCCAGACCAGCAAGGGGAGAATAGCTTAAAATTCACTTGGTAGCCAGGTCCTCATCTTGGTGCTGTTGCAGCTGTATTTATTTATTTTTCAGTAATCACTGGCTTTATTTCATGGTATAGAATACTTTGGGTTGATGTCCAGCCTTTTTGCTGAAGCTCTTCTCATGTAAACCACTAAAATAGTTTTGAAAGTGGGGAGGATATAGTGGCCATTGGTGTGTGGTCTTGTTCATGGAATAGATACAGTAACCAGAGAGAGGCTTGACCACACCCCTTAGCAGAAAGCCATGCTTCCTTTGTACTTTGGAGAATCCAGATAGCATAGCCAGATCACCCTCATATCACTTTCTTGAGTGCGAAATGCCCTCCCTGGTGGAAACACCTGATGGGCTCCATTAATATCCTTCCCTTTGGTCTCAGTTGGCTTCACCTGGAAATCCAGTAACCTAAGCAACTGATTACCGTGTTATAATTTCATCTCTGTTCCAACACCTATTTGCAAACTGGAACCAGTAGGGAGCCATTGAACATTTTCTGCTGTGATTTCCACTAGGGCTGCTGCTGGGTGGGTGGTTTTGGTAAGTAGGAGCAAGAGGTTCCATAAATCCTGTTCCTCCCTCCTCTCTTTGTGCAACTTGTGGCAGGTTTGGGTCCATGTTCTGCATTACCCACATACCGCGATCAAAAGGTGAACTTTCCCCTATTTTAAAATTACAGAGTTTGTTCTTGGCTGTTAATGGCATTCCAATGTGCACTTTGTTTTGGTGTCTTGTCCACGCCTTTTGGTGTTAACTAAGGAGCTCCAATTTAAGGGTAAATACAGTGGGCCATATTCATCCGCAGTGTAATTCCACTGAAGTTAACTGAATTACACCTGAACTGTATTTGACTCAGGCTGTGCTGAGAATTTTAGGTAATTCACCAGTGTTGGTCTAGCACCGGTGCAGTACTGCTTGGTATGGATTAACAAGAGTGGTCTAGACTAGCGAGGTTTGGACAAAGGCATTTTTATTACAGTGTCTTTGAAGCAGATCTAGGTGACATGGTGGTAGAAATGTCTGTGGCCAGTTTGTGATGCCGTTGGTATAATTGCACTGCGACTAGACCAGCAAAGGGAGAATTGCTAAAAATTCACTTTGTAGCCAGTTCCTCATTTTGGTGCCATTGCATGTGTATTTATTTTTCAGTAATCACTGGCCTTATTTCATGATATAGAATAGTCTGGGTTAAGCATTTTCTTTGAAGCTCTCCTCATGTAAACCACTAAAATAGTTTTGAAGTTGCGGAGGATATGTTGGACATCATTTCTGTTTTTTTTAAATAAACACTCCCACCTGAACTAGGTTAACTGTCTCTAGCCCAACTGTGCAGTTCATTTTGATCAATTAATTCACGATCCTTATTGAAAGCTGACTTGAAGTTAAAGGGCTAACACATGAAAAGCTTCAATATAAGATCTTTGGTGCTCCTAATTGTCAGCAGTCTAGTCTTTTTAATCAAGTAACTGAATTGCTCAGTTCCATCAAGCAAATTTCTGCTTCCCTGAGTCCCAAAGAACTTGATTGCGGGGAGAGGAAATGTTAATCTCATTCTAATTTAATAATCTCTTTTCAGAAAAGAGGAAAATTGCTTTTTAAAAAGTAAAAGAACGAGAAAGCAAGTTTTACGAGTTTGCGGAATTGCTAAGAAAGTGAATGTGCAGTTGTGATTTTCGCGGTCTATCCCAGTATTTGCATAATACAGCTTTCAAGGTTCTCGTTTATATTTCTAATTACAATTCAACATGGTTTCATGTTGTGCAAAAACTATACAGTAGAGTCTTGATTGTGAGGTTGTTGGAAACCTCACTGTGAGCCTGGTGTACTGTAAGCCCTGGTCTACACTAGGACTTTAGGTCGAATTTAGCAGCATTAAATCAATGTAAACCTGCACCCGTCCACACGATGAAGCCCTTTATTTCGACTTAAAGGGCTCTTAAAATCGATTTCCTTACTCAACCCCTGACAAGTGGATTAGCGCTTAAATCGGCCTTGCCGGCTCGAATTTGGGGTACTGTGGACACAATTCGACGGTATTGGCCTCCGGGAGCTATCCCAGAGTGCTCCATTGTGACCGCTCTGGACAGCACTCTCAACTCAGATGCACTGGCCAGGTAGACAGGAAAAGAACCGCGAACTTTTGAATCTCATTTCCTGTTTGGCCAGCGTGGCAAGCTGCAGGTGACCATGCAGAGCGCATCAGCAGAGGTGACCATGATGGAGTCCCAGAATCGCAAAAGAGCTCCCTCATGGACCGAATGGGAGGTACGGGATCTGATAGCTGTTCGGGGAGAGGAATCCGTGCTATCAGAACTCCGTTCCAGTTTTTGAAATGCCAAAACCTTTGTCAAAATCTCCCAGGGCATGAAGGACAGAGGCCATAACAGGGACCCGAAGCAGTGCCGCATGAAACTGAAGGAGCTGAGGCAAGCCTACCAGAAAACCAGAGAGGCGAACGGCCGCTCCGGGTCAGAGTCCCAAACATGCCGCTTCTATGATGAGCTGCATGCCATTTTAGGGGGTTCAGCCACCACTACCCCAGCCATGTTGTTTGACTCCTTCAATGGAGATGGAGGCAATACGGAAGCAGGTTTTGGAGATGAAGAAGATGAGGAGGAGGAGGAGGTTGTAGATAGCTCACAGCAAGCAAGCAGAGAAACCGGTTTTCCCGACAGCCAGGAACTGTTTCTCACCCTGGACCTGGAGCCAGTACCCCCCAAACCCACCCAAGGCTGCCTCCTGGACCCAGCAGGCGGAGAAGGGACCTCTGGTGAGTATACCTTTTAAAATACTATACGTGGTTTAAAAGCAAGCATGTGAAAGGATTACTTTGCCCTGGCATTCGCGGTTCTCCTGGATGTACTCCCAAAGCCTTTGCAAAAGGTTTCTGGGGAGGGCAGCCTTATTGCATCCTTCATGGTAGGACAGTTTACCACTCCAGGCCAGTAGCACGTACTCGGGAATCATTGTAGAACAAAGTATTGCAGTGTATGTTTGCTGGCACTCAAACAACGTCCGTTTTTTATCTCTCTGTGTTATCCTCAGGAGAGTGAGATATAATTCATGGTCACCTGGTTGAAATAGAGTGCTTTTCTTCAGGGGACACTCAGAGGAGCCCATTCCTGCTGGGCTGTTTGCCTGCGGCTGAACAGAAATATTCCCCGCTGTTAGCCACGGGGAAGGGGGAGGGTTGAGGGGGTAGCCACGTGGTGGGGGGAGGCAAAATGCGACCTTGTAACGAAAGCACATGTGCTATGTATGTAATGTTAACAGCAAGGTTTACCCTGAAAGAGTGTAGCCACTGTTTTATAAAATGTGTCTTTTTAAATGCCGCTGTCCCTTTTTTTTTTTCCCACCAGCTGCATGTGTTTCAATGATCACAGGATCTTCTCCTTCCCAGAGGCTAGTGAAGCTTAGAAAGAAAAAAAAATGCACTCGCGATGAAATGTTCTCCGAGCTCATGCTGTCCTCCCACACTGACAGAGCACAGACGAATGCGTGGAGGCAAATAATGTCAGAGTGCAGGGAAGCACAAAATGACCGGGAGGAGAGGTGGCGGGCTGAAGAGAGGGCTGAAGCTCAAATGTGGCGGCAGCGTGATGAGAGGAGGCAGGATTCAATGCTGAGGCTGCTGGAGGACCAAACCAGTATGCTCCAGTGTATGGTTGAGCTGCGGCAAAGGCAGCTGGAGCACAGACTGCCACTGCAACCCCTCTGTAACCAACCGCCCTCCTCCCCAAGTTCCATAGCCTCCACACCCAGACGCCCAAGAACGCAGTGGGGGGGCCTCCGGCCAACCAGCCACTCCACCACAGAGGATTGCCCAAAAAAAAGAAGGCTGTCATTCAATAAATTTTAAAGTTGTAAACTTTTAAAGTGCTGTGCTTAAAGTGCTGTGTGGCATTATCCTTCCCTCCTCCACCACCCCTCCTGGGCTACCTTGGTAGTCATCCCCCTATTTGTGTGATGAATGAGTAAAGAATGCATGAATGTGAAGCAATAATGACTTTATTGCCTCTGCAAGTGGTGATTGAAGGGAGGAGGGGCGGGTGGTTAGCTTACAGGGAAGTAGAGTGAACCAAGGGGCGGGGGGTTTCATCAAGGAGAAACAAACAGAACTTTCACACCGTAGCCTGGCCAGTCATGAAACTGGTTTTCAAAGCTTCTCTGATGCGTACCGTGCCCTCCTGTGCTCTTCTAACGGCCCTGGTGTCTGGCTGCGCGTAACCAGCAGCCAGGCGATTTGCCTCAACCTCCGACCCCGCCATAAACGTCTCCCCCTTACTCTCACAGATATTGGGGAGCACACAGCAAGCAGTAATAACAGTGGGAATATTGGTTTCGCTGAGGTCTAAGCGAGTCAGTAAACTGCGCCAGCGCGCCTTTAAACGTCCAAATGCACATTCTACCACCGTTCTGCACTTGCTCAGCCTGTAGTTGAACAGCTCCTGACTACTGTCCAGGCTGCCTGTGTACGGCTTCATGAGCCATGGCATTAAGGGGTAGGCTGGGTCCCCAAGGATACATATAGGCATTTCAACATCCCCAACAGTTATTTTCTGGTCTGGGAATAAAGTCCCTTCCTGCAGCTTTTGAAACAGACCAGAGTTCCTGAAGATGTGAGCGTCATGTACCTTTCCCAGCCATCCCACGTTGATGTTGGTGAAACGTCCCTTGTGATCCACCAGAGCTTGCAGCACTATCGAAAAGTACCCCTTGCGGTTTATGTACTCGGTGGCTTGGTGCTCCGGTGCCAAGATAGGGATATGGGTTCCGTCTATAGCCCCACCACAGTTAGGGAATCCCATTGCAGCAAAGCCATCCACTATGACCTGCACATTTCCCAGGGTCACTACCCTTGATATCAGCAGATCTTTGATTACGTGGGCTACTTGCATCACAGGAGCCCCAACAGTAGATTTGCCCACTCCAAATTGATTCCCAACTGACTGGTAGCTGTCTGGCGTTGCAAGCTTCCACAGGGCTATCGCCACTCGCTTCTCAACTGTGAGGGCTGCTCTCATCTTAGTATTCATGCGCCTCAGGGCAGGGGAAAGCAAGTCACAAAGTTCCATGAAAGTGCCCTTACGCATGCGAAAGTTTCGCAGCCACTGGGAATCGTCCCAGACCTGCAACACTATGCGGTCCCACCAGTCTGTGCTTGTTTCCCAAGCCCAGAATCGGCGTTCCACAGCACGAACCTGCCCCATTAGCACCATGATGCATGCATTGGCAGGGTCCATGCTTTCAGAGAAATCTGTGTCCATGTCCTGATCACTCACATGACTGCGCTGACGTCGCCTCCTCGCCCGGTATCTCTTTGCCCGGTTCTGGTGCCGCATATACTGCTGGATAATGCGTGTGGTGTTTAATGTGCTCCTAATTGCCAAAGTGAGCTGAGCAGCCTCCATGCTTGCCTTGGTATGGCGTCCGCACAGAAAAAAGGCGCGGAACGATTGTCTGCCGTTGCTCTGACGGAGGGAGGGGCGACTGACGACACGGCTTACAGGGTTGGCTTCAGGGAGCTAAAATCAACAAAGGGGGTGTCTTTACATCAAGAAGTATTTCAGGCAGGACTTCACGGAGGGTTCCAATAAGAAATGGTGCACCTAAGTTATTGTTCTTATTGGAACGAGGAGGTTAGCCTGGCCTCTGATTGATACATGGCTAGATTTACCTCGCTGCACCTTCTCTGTGAGTGACTGCAGTGTGACCCAGAGGAATGTGTCCCCTAGACAGGGGAGGAGGCAAATGAGTACAAAACAAATCTGGTCTATTTCTTGTTTTGATCCACTCCATCTATCTTTTACATCTTTGGCTGGCAGCAGACGGTGCAGAAGGACTGCATGCCATCCACATCTCATGGCTGCTCGGCAGAAGATGGTACAGTATGACTGCTAGCCATCCTCATCTCTTGCCTGCCCGGCAGAAGATGGTACAGTACGACTGCTAGCAATCCATATCGCCTGCCTGCTCACCATAAGACGGTTCAATAGGACTGACTGCAGGACTAAAGAGAATGACCTGGTCAAATCACTCCAAATTTAGTCCCTGCGCCCATGTCTGCCCAGGCGCTCCCAGCCGACGTGGCCAGGAGCACCTCGGACACGACGAGGATGGCTACCAGTCGTATTGCACCGTCTGCTGCCAGAAGGCAATGGGTTGCTGCTACTGTGTAGCAAAGCCGTACTGCGTCTGCCAGCACCCAGGAGACATAGGGTGACGGTTACCTGAGCGGGCTCCATGCTTGCCGTGGTATGGCGTCTGCACAGGTAACTCAGGAAAAAAGGTGCGAAACGATTGTCTGCTCTTGCTTTCACGGAGGGAGGGAGGGAGGGAACGGGGGCTTGACGATATGTACCCAGAACCACCCGCGACAATGTTTTATCCCCATCAGGCATTGGGATCTCAACCCAGAATTCCAATGGGCAGCAGAGACTGCGGGAACTGTGGGATAGCTATCCACAGTGCAATGCTCCGGAAGTCGACTCTAGCCTTGGTACTGTGGAAGCACTCCGCCGAGTTAATGCACTTAATGCACTTTGAGCATTTTCTGTGGGGACACACACACTCGAATATATAAAACCGATTTCTAAAAAAACAACTTCTATAAATTCGACCTTATATGTCTGGTTTTTGAGATGGAGAATAGTTATTTACTTATTGCTGTGGAACCTATTGCCTGTGAATTATAGAGGAAATCTCTTGCTGAGACTCCTAGGTGAGGTGAAGTGTAGAATGGATGACAGGGATTTAAAAAAATATAAGAATATAAACCAGACACAGTGAAAGAGCAGCAGAAAACATTGAGGCTTCTTGAGTCACTGTTTGTGGTATAGCCCTTTCACAGATAAAGATGGAAAATTGACTGGAAAATTGCACGTTGTGACTATGTTTATTGCTGCATTTCAATAGTGGCTTGAAAATACTATTTCACTGGAGAGAACCCAAGCTGTAAATCTGGGGTGGGGAGAGAGGGAGCGACACCAACAGAGGGAGGTTTACAGGTAGTTTGTAAAGCCCAGCAACATTTCTGTGCCTCACTTCTTCAATGTGTGTTTTTTTTTTTTGGAACATCCTTTTCTCCTCCTTCCTGTGTAGTTTCCATGGGGCTCTATCCTGGGTCTCTCTGGTGGGGTGTACTATCCCTTTAGGGAACAGTCTGAAGCTTACAGCCCAAGCAAACCTGTGTTTAGTCAAGGATCCTGCTCCACCCTGGGACTAGTTATTAAACAGGAAGAGCAAACTGAGTGAGACAGGGAACAAGAAGCCATACAGGCTGCTATGGGCTGTGGTCTGTCTCAGGCTCCAGGGAACTATCCTGACCCCAGCTAGGCTTTGTTTACTGACTCCAAGTTTGTGTGTGGGGGTGGGGGGATTCAAGAGAAGGGCCTTCTGAACTTTATGAATGCTCCTTTCCTGAGACCTTCTAAAAGGAGACATATTTGTTTTGTTAGTTTGTTTTGGCTTCCCCTTCCTTGAATCCTTTATAGGTCCCTTTTCTTCTCCCTTTACATCCTGTCTCCAGGTAATCTTATCCACAAACCCAAATTCAGTGTATGACTTTGTCTTCACTGCTAAAAAAAAAAAAAAAAAAAAAGTGTTCTTTTGTTTTTTGCTTTTTTCTTTTTTACTGCAGGATAACTGCTGCATGTTAGCTATCCTTCTGTAAAGTTCAAGAGCAGACAAGGGACTGTAATTTTACCATGGGTCAACCATGGGTGGGAGCTACAGTGTTGACTTGACCGATCTATCTTTCAGTAAAAACTATAGGGAGCTTCAAAAAAAGAAAAGGAGTACTTGTGGCACCTTAGAGACTAACAAATTTATTTGAGCATAAGCTTTTGGGAGCTTGTTTGCACTAAGATATTGATGACGCTCAGATCTGCCTCTCTGTTCCAGACCAGTCTTCTGTCCAAACTAAACCTCGGCCTGTTTCTCTGCCATCCCCTAATGGATGACCAGGTATCGGTGTACGCTCAGCCAAAACACAGTGCTTAACGGTTTTTCTCCCTCTTTCCTTTTTCAGTCACTGTGGACAACTTCACTATTCTCCCTGTCAATGGGGTCTGGAGTCTCCCAGAATTGTCATTGATCTCCTGGTGACCACTGAAAGCAATCCATGAGATTTTAATTGGATATTTTAAGAAAATGATATTACATCATCATTTTGGGGAAAAAAATCTCCTGGAATAGCTTCAGTCAGAGTTGACAACCTTACCTGTAACGTGGCCATCATCTTCAACTCAGCCCGCCCTCTTGATTGTCATATAGTCTAAATCTTGCCAGTTCTTTCCATGTAACATCTCTAAGATCCAACCTTTGTTATCCATCCACCCAGCTAAAATTCCTGCCTAGGCTCTCATCATCACCTGGGCTATTGCAACATCCTCTTCCCTGGCCCTGCTTATTCAATCTTGCTGTGACACTGCCTATCATGCTGACTAATACTGTCTCATTGTTTCCTTGTGCTCCCCCATTTGTCTGTCTATATCCTTCTGTTGTCTCTTGTCTTATACTTAGATGGTAAACTCTTTGGGGGAGGGACTGTCCATTTGTTATAGTGTTTTGTACAGCACCTAAAACAGTATTGTCCTAGGCTGTGACTGGGACTCCTTGCTGCTCCCACAATATAAATAATAATAATCACTCATATCAAACACCCCCCCCTTTCCCAAAAAAATATATTTTAGGCATAAGTGCGCCGATCAACATATCTGTGGACTTAGATGGAGCTCATCACCATATCATACGACCACGTTACAATTGGTACTGAATTTTAACCTCTCATCACTCCTGTATGTACTGAAGTACCATACTCATGTTACAAGTGGAGAACTGAGGCACATAGTAAATCTAGTGACTTGCCCAGGGTCACTCAGGAAGTCTGTGGCTGGGTCCAG